AACTACTAGAGTTAATGTCAGAGACGTACCGATGGTACAAGGACATGTTCTACGTTCTTGCGCTCCGTACTTGTAATACCTTGAGCAAACATTTCGATAACTACATGTTTCCCATTGTGTTTAGTCTTAAATCTCCATGTTTGTGTTTCTCATTGTGTGTTTAGATTTAAACCTTCGTCCTTGTGCTTGATCTTAGACCCAAACTTTTCGTAAAATAGTGTATACTCCATTCCAACAAGAATCACGGTCGTGACGTCATTGTCAACCGGACAAACCAACAAACTAGCATCGAGTGTTCCGCACCGACGCCAACAAAGCTGCGTTCCAAATATTTCTCAGCCAAGCATCGATTGCTCTTTACGCGCAACGATGCCCTGATGTGGCAACGACAGCAAAAAGCACAGTGTTCCTCCACTTGACTGTGCACAAACTCATGAGATTCATATCTCAGTAAATTGACAAAACCTTGCGTTCAGGTTGCCACGAATCTTTTCAACGTATGTCACGCATACGAACAAATTGTTGTCCAACAAGTTCCAATCCGTTACTTATGAGATCAACGTCGCTGGATATTTTAATTATTTTCGGCTTAAAGAAATCTGAATCCGTGTCGCACGATTGGATATAATCGGATAACACGAAGTGGTCTTCGATGAGTACGGGAGGCTGATTCTGATTTTGAGGCTGCCGATTACGTGCTCGTGGAACTTGGTCAGCGGGTTCCATCAAGTTCGAATGTTTCTTGCGTTGATGTTGTAAGAGTTTTGCCTACGGAACCAAATTAATTCCTCGAATTCTTTAAACTTTTATCAAACGATCAGATCATTTGAAACTTACCTTGCTGGCGTATTGTTTGTGACACCACTGACAACCTTGAGGTATCGTTGTAATACTACCAACTGTTTGACTAAATGTTGGATTTGGTAAATCAGAGTATACAGACTCTTTTTGTCTATTACTCGGTGGCAAAGCAGCGCCCGGGTGATTTTTCATTATATGTGCTTTACGTTTGCTGCTACTTTTGTACACCTTTAAAATATTATTAAAATAATGTTAAAATAAACCGATAATAATATTATAAACCAACTTATTCTAACCACCGATAAGTAGTACCGGACCTTGTCACAATATTGACAGTAATAATCTCTCGTCTGGCGCAAAATTGGTAAATTTAATTCTGGCACAGATTCCGGTGCAACATCAGGATGACGTTTTGCTAAATGATTAACAAGCATTCCCCTTCGTTTAAACCCTACCAGACATTGATGACATTTGTAAACGAACCGATTGTAGTCATTAGGATTTACCTATTAATAATACATATGTATATATATATATATATACATATATAGATAGATAGACAGATATTATCAATTGTCTTATTAAGTGTTTCATTTGTTTAGACAAATACCTTTGGAACAAATTTTTTCGTTTGCGTGACTCGCGACATTTGTTCTTCGGTAGCCGTTTGTGAATTATGTAGCTTCGTTATGTGTTCCTTCAATTTATCTTTTCTCTTAAACTGTTTCCCACAATTCGCGCAATGAAATTGCCTGTTGGAACAGGAAAAGTATCGCATAATATAAATGCAATCTCTACGTTTATAACGTACAAATGTTCATATACCTATGATCAGAGTGTTTCAACAAATGCATTTGTAATTTGTCGACTGTAGCAAATCGTTTTGCGCAAACTTGACATTTGTGTTTTCTTTCGCAGTGGTGCGATCTAATATGCTTACGAATCACCGAATATTTAATGAATATTCTTTGGCAGTAAGGGCAACTAAAGGTACCATCTTCTTTCTTATGAGTCTCGATATGATCTTTTAATGCCATGCTTTGACTAAATAATTGCCGACACATCGGACATTCGAACACTTGTTTATTTTCTAAATAAAAATAAGATAGATTATAAACAACAATTTAACACCTAACTTATACCAAAGATTTTAATACAAGTATAATTTACCTTTGTGAGTTTTTAAATGACAAGATAGCGCTGAATTGTTCATGAATCTTTTAAAACAAATGTTGCATGGCAGTGGCTTTTGATCTTCTGCACCATGTACCAAACAGTGCTGTTGTAGTCGTACTTTTGTAGCAAAACGTTTGTAACACATTGAACACTTGTAAGTTGACAGAGGTGTTAATCTTTTTGCTTTTGTTAAAGATAATCTTCCGTGTTGCGAGACATGATTAATCAATTCTTTTTGTTTTTGAAATTGTATGCCACATTGTGGACAAACTGTCGAGTAAGTTTTCGTTTTTATTTTATCGGTACCATGAGTAAGAGTGTGTAGGTTGAGTAAAATCGGTTTTCGAAAAATTAAACAGCAAACCGAACATTTCCATTCTTTCGAATTATTTCGTCTTGAATTTTCTTTTTCTTTTAAATTTCTACCACGAAATACTTTAATGCGACGAGAATGGTTATCTTCTAGCCGTGGCCAAGCGGGTAATTGATTTTTGAGTTCTATAACATGAAATCATACGTACTTATACATATATCATTTGAAATATTACATTCAAAACTTGTATACCTTTCTCATCTTTTGTTTCTTGCATAGGCTGAAGCACAATTAAGTTTCTACGAATTGCATAATCGGAGCTAGGGCCAGCTTTTAATTCTTCCTTTGGTAAAATGCTCCTTGTAGTTAAAAATACTATTCCATCGCGTTGTTGACAAATTACTAAATTTTGTTCTTTATATGTTAACGCAGGTCTGACAAAACGCATCCAATTCGAAGCATCTGCAGTATCAAATCAAGGTTTTGAATTTATTAACCGTTACGTTTTTTTTTTTTCAAATATAAACACTTACTTTCATTTGAAACATCTACTTTTAAAAGTTCTTCATCTTCGGTTTCATAAAGCAACGGCAATTGGTTTTTAAATGACATACCGTCGTAAGGATATAAGATACCTTCTATAGGACCGAATCGAGTACGTTTCTGTATATAACGTTTTGCAAATACTCCATACTCCATTCCACTCGATGCAATTTCAAAGTTAGACAATTTGTTTATCGAAAGATACGATCCTGGCAGTGTTGCTATAGCACGAGACGGTACAGGCTGATCTGCTATTGTACATACATTATGCGAAGTGCAACTATCCCCGATACAGATATCATCGCATTCGTCGCAACCTGTAAAAGAGCACAAGTTTAATACTGCGTCGATAGAAGTATGGAGAGCCATAACGGCATTACGTACAAGAATTTTTTTTGTCATTTATACGGCGCTTAGACCTTCTAACATTCTGTTTTTCACTATCATTCTTTTCTTCGGCATGCATTAAAATTTCATCGATTTCTTGCTCCTCTTTCAACTCCATCAAGCAATTTGTGTTATTCTCTTTGTTAGAATTTTCTGGGGTCGATGAAAGCATAGACTCGTCCGCATCGAGATTTTGACTTTTAAAAGTATTCATGACATTTATTTGGTCGTCTTGCATAACAAGAAAATCTCTACTCAATGCAAAGTCTGTACTTGGCATTCCTGTTAGCATCAGCGGGGCAGCCGACGATTCTAATCCAGAATTAGTTTCTGTAAATACATTTTGTATTATATAATACGAAAGTGAAATTTGAGATTAGATTCAAAGGGAAGCATGAACCAAGAATTACCTTGCATCAAAATCAATTCGCTACCAACGCTGGAAACCAATTGTTCTGCATTTTCATTGGCAACAAAGTCAGCAGAATTATCTGTCTGCTGTACATTCTGTGTAGTGATCGGATGGGTCACATGCGAGACATAGTTAACATTTGCCCTTTCATTTGTCTCTGGTGCAGATATTAAAGGAGAAGAGGGACCTTGTAGAACAACAACAGAATTATGGAAAGGAGATGATGGAAGTTGTACCGGAGTAGGCGAATACCTAGCTGCAGAACTCATATTTGGGTCAAGAGGACTAACACGATGTTCGAAATCAGAAAGTGGAGAAGATGCTCTAGAGGAAAAGGAAACCTGTTCATACATTGGAAATAGACGAGAATATTCTCGTGACTGATCTTCCACGTATTCCACCTAATAACAAACGATTCAAATATTTTTTGCTACAAAAAAAATCTATTAAAATCTGACGGCAACCATTTACTTACAGTTAAGAACAACAACTTATTACTCATTTTTTTTGGCTGTTCACACATTGATGAAGGAAGCAAATGGTAGGTGGGCCAATTTACAGAAGTCTCAGATACTTTATCAATGTTTAGAATCTCAAAGGAGTTAGCAGGGGCCCCCTGAGGAGGGCCCCTTGGATCCATTTTATTTCTCGTTGTGTATCGGGAATATTACAACTTCGGTTACCTGTCAAAATTGTACTTTGAAAATACAGTTAGCTCTGTCGTTAAAGAACGAATGAAAGAGACGGACTACCTTTAACCACAACGATTGCATTCGTGTGATTTTAAGCGTACCGATAAAACACGATAATCGTTGCGATAGGTTCGAAATAACTATACAACTGTACATTGTTTTGATCTGTGTGTCTTATAAAGAGGTGGACTTACCATTACCATCCTCGACACGTAAGTTTTCGGAGTCGATGCACTTTTTCCCGTGTGATGCACCTGCTGCGATACACTGGTTCGTCCACGTCCAGTCAACAATCATCGCTATCGGTTTCATAATGCTGACTGAGCACCACTGAAATGGCGGGACGGTTTCGTATCGACGCGACGATATGTAGGATTCGAAATAATTTCTGATTTTCTTGATAATACCGCTATCCAATTATTGTCTACGTTTTTCGAATAGTAGTTAACACGCGATTTATAATTATGTACACAACTAATCTTTCTCCTCGGATACTGGCAATTTAAATTACAATTAAATTGATTTTACAAAGTTTATTTTAATAAACGTATAGACATTGATAAAAAGCACTGTATGTATATTGTATACTTCGACCCCCACCCCCCATTTACGAATGAGTTCGATTTGAGTTTGAGGTCACTTGCGTGTACAGGGGGTAAGGTAGATTGGTGGATGGATACGTATCTTTGACAACTTTCCTTAACAACGAGACAACAACGCGATAACAAGAGTTTCAGTTATGGTTTCTCGATACGTACCAAGAAATATGTAACTTAAAACGAACCTTTTGTTAACTAAATAATAAGCGATCATGGTATACGCGAACGAAGTCACCGATATAGTAGATCGGATGATGAAAGTAAATATTTTTCCATCGTCGGAAAAACTTGCGATGTTGAGGGACAAGGAGATCCTCGATCCAAACTTAATTATGGACGCTAGGCATCGAATACTTCGAGAAGATTTATCTATTTCACCTACAAAACACTCCGTTTTAGCAGAAACCAGGAGGTGAAATGTATTTTCTAAATGAACTAATAACAAATATCTGAGCACTTGTTACAAAATGTACACCTCGCAGGTTGTTGACGGAGGAGGAGTCGAGGCAGTTATATATAAAGAAACAGCAAAGATTTCTAGAACAAGAGTTGCAAAAATTTCAAAGAGAACTCGATAAATCTAGAGTGACGCTTTCAAAACCGTACGTGTGCAGGAAGAGGAGTTTTGTACCTTCGGATGACGAAGACTTTTGGAGAACGTCTAGAAGAATTAAAAACAAGGTCGGTATAAATGATACTAAATTAGCGATTAAAATATTTTTATTATAATTGAAAGCATGTAACATTCTTTGTAGATGACATTTGAGGAGAAAATGGAAAGACACGATACCGGTGAAAATATTATCGATACGTTTAGAAAGAAAAGTGCAACAGAAGTTGACGACTCTTCCATGAAAATGTTGGATATGAATGACACAAGGGAAACGGAATGCGAAGTATCGTGCATCGGAAATATAAAAGTAACAATCAGAGACAAACCTAACTTTGATTCGCAAACGCAATATTTGTCCCTTTTAAGAAAATGTTTCGATGCCTTCAAGCAAAATGTCAAGGAAAAAGAACGGCTTCGCGACATTAAGATGAAAATTCAACAAAATTTGATTTCTAGGATGACAAGAAAGTATTTCGACATTTGGAGAGCGTATACGAAAACGACCGATACCGCGCAGAGACAAACGGAACTACTTTCAGAGGAGCAAAGGATCGAAAAATTTATAAATACAATTACGGAACGCCAGAACGAATTGACGAAGGCTCAAGATGTAAAAGTTAGAGATAATAATTTGGTCGTAAAGAAAACTAGTAATACAGAAATAAGGAAACGGAACACTTATGCTAAACCTATTAACGTCGAATCACCCGCACAAAGTCGATTGTGTGCTCAAAGACAGATAATAGAAAAACAAAGAGCGAAATTGATCGAACAGAGCAAGATCATCGAGGAATTAAAATTGAATCAAGCGCAGAAGGAAATATTCAGAGCAACCAAAGATACAGTGGATATGGCTAAAGAGACGCTCGCTCACTGCGGCCAAAAGACGAGGAGAACTTTGATTCTGTTGATGCAGCAAAATGGATACAGGTACTACAAATCTCCTCGATGATTTACAATTTATATACGTATTAATACTTATCGTTGACTCACTGCTCTCTCGGAAGGGATGAAAGTTTGACGGTGCGTCAACGATCGCAAGATCCACCAAAATTTTTGTTAAGAATGGAAGCTCGAGCAGAAGCTAGACGTGAAAGGATAAAACTAGCCGAAGAATCACGCAGGAAGAGACTGCAGGAAAAAGAAAGGAAGGAAGAGGCTGCTCGAATAGAAGAGGAACAGAAGAAGAGGAGATTACAACGAGAGGTCGAGTAATATTCTAATCTACTGGAAAGTTCTGTTCACTCAGCTCATTCGACATCGATTGAGAATATTTGTAACTACATGTCCCGGAACGATTAGTATAATCGGAAATTGTACGACTGTAATTGTTCACAGACTAACTATTCGAACGTTCATAATTAAAGGGCAGACAGATCTTTCCAATAGACCTAACAAATCAAAGTGTATTAATGTCATTCTAAGTTTCACAAACATTAATTTTAACTCGCAAGCTCCGTTATCGCTTCGTACCGCAATACTCTTTTTTTTTTTTTTCTATGATTATGCACTATACAGCTGGTACGATGAATTTGCTATTTATTTGTTTATTTATTTATTAACAGGCTTTAACTCAGGCACGAAGACTATGGAAAGAACAAGAACGAAAGCGACAAAATGAAATAGAAAAATTGAAAAGATTGAACGATATGGCAGACGAATTTTATCGAAAATATCTTCTAAGACGTTATGGAATAGAACCATTAATGGGTTTTGTTGAACGAAAAAAGAGTAACATTGAAAAGATAGACAACCGTTATAAGGAAAATTTAACAAGGAACGTATTTATAGCATGGAGAAGAGAAACAGAGATTCGATGTAAAATTGTAACTGAATTTGCGGAGACTTTTTATAATAGAAGCTTAATGGTCAAGACTTTCCGAGAGTGGAAGCAGATGACTAAAGAAGGAAACGTGAAATATCAAGTTGCCATTGATTTCTATGATATGAAACTTTTAGACAGATACTTCAAATCGTGGCAAATAATAACACTTGAACTGAAAGTACAATACGAATGCAAAGAGAAGTTAGCTAGCAATCATTATAAAAGTAAATTAAAATTAAGATACTTCTTTACGTGGAAAAAGTATCTCACGATTGCTGTAGATATCGCGGAAAGTGAGAAGAGAAAAGATAAATTAAGGCAATTGGTGCAGACAGTGATTCCTGACTTTGATCCTAGACAGAGAGGCGTAGCATTAGAGGATTAAATTAATATTATAATATTTAATTAAAATACAGAAATTGTATCGTAACGATAGTTTTAAACTATATATGACACGGAAACCATTACTAATTATTGTTATTTTGTATAAAAGAGAAAGAGAGAGAATGGAAACGTGTATTATACGTAGAGTATTTTATGTTCAGATCTTAGATGTACTGTACACAATTGAATAATACAATTTATTACGTAAATCGTATAATGATCACTTTATCACAGTTACAATAAATATATGAATAATTGATAATGTGCATATTAATGAAATAATAAATGTAATTGCCATTTGAACCGAGAGCAGCAATTTTACGACCCGATATGTCGTCATTAAGTTTAATATCATCGGCAATAGTACATGGTACCTTGCGATTGTAAAAAAAGAAATGAGAGTGAGCGGCATTAAAATATATTAATAGAGAAAGGTGCATTTGAATCAATATTAAAGTATACATTGAGACTCACATACCACTACACCCAATGGTTTTGCTTCATTGTCAGAGTTTTTGTAATATTCGTTGCATAGCACAAATTATTATCTTCCGTATAAATTAAATTTAATAATTTAAACTACATTTGGTATTTAAGTTTTGCAGCAAAATAATCGGGATACAATTTTCAATGTCCCATGGTTGTATTGGCTTCCAGCTTCCAGAAGACGTCGCTCGTTCGATGTTGTACCAAGGTAAATTAACCACAGATGATATATTAAGTAGAAAAGTGCCACTAGACCAACAAGCAAGCTGTAGAGTGCAGAGATGAAGCAGAGGGCAATGCTGGAACAATATGTACATTATTATATATCGTTTGGGTACTCGAAGCAAACAGTTGCGCGACACGTTATCTATTCAATTTTTATATCGTCAGAAAGCAAATAAGAGATATTACAATATTTACGACTTTAATACGAGTCTCGACAATTATCACTATCTCGCGATTATTGTAGTTTCCATTGTAGATCCTCAGAGAGAGTCTTATTACAGAGAAGCGTCGTACTTCCCTTGCATATAATTTGAACAGATCATATATTCTCAATTAATTACCATTATTCAATGTAAAATATCACCTATGTGATACGTACTCTAACTGATGATATACGTCGCTGCAATCGTCTGGTAAAAGAATAGTGCCAATTAATATAAACGGATGGCAAACACTAGTCATGGTTAAATTGGAACCATAGATAAACGCTATAGCTGAGAAAAACAAACATCCCAAATACCATTTTAGGTTGCTGGAGCCTATGCAACAGTCCAACCTGTAATATACATGAAAAATATCATTGTTAGATGAGATTATTAATTGTTTGGCATACGTAAGGAAAAGATTGGTTTTAGCATAAATTAAGACTGTACCATTTACAGTGATATTCCCTGTTTAAGATACATGTCTGACACATGCGACAATGATGTGCTTTTGGAGGAGCTCTTCTTCTACATGTAATGCAAAGTTCTCCACTACCTTCGCCAAGTTCTAAACCTTGAGTCAATGTACCCTCCTGTGTAGTGGAATCTGCGTTTAGTCTACTCTTGTAGCCGCACAATATACCTCCCACGACACAAATTATAAACACTAGATTTTCTTCTGGCAAGATCTCTAATAATGGTACCACACTTATTTCAAATATCAGCATCAACATAACGACACTGGTAATTGTCCACATAAGAAAAAACTTTGTTCGTAGTAAAAACCTCAAGAAGTTGTGATGCAAATAGTAGACCAATAACGGTGTCGCGATGAATATAATTACAGTAGAGAGTATCGTTTGTGCGGCTATCACTGCCAATGTTGGAACCGCGAATATCGGTATCATTGCATCAACTGAAATTTGTTTAGCACCAGCCCTCCAGCCACAAGGATTTCGCAATCTCTCCCAAACAGTCATCTTTGATAATCTATAACAGTTGTGTCGAAGAGATGCGATGTGTTTACACTTTCATGGAGAATCGAACGAGGAACATCGCAAAATTATACGGGGGTTAGAAACGTTTTATGAAACGTTGCTCGTTCGGTTGGTTGTATACGTGTATCTACGAGTTATTGTAAAATTTCAATTTAACGATTCTGAAAAATGTTGCGTGAAAGATAGGTGGCAGCACCATTTAAAAAATATATAAATATTATTAAACGAACGATTGTAAAATTCGAAATATCTCATGTGTGGTGTCTAAGATAATGTTTCTCTTCCTCTTCAACGATGAACCATTGTTTCGATAGAAATCGATACTCCTCGTTCGACGGGGATTTCCTTTAACCTACAACAGTAAACAGACTGATCTATTTAGATGAAAAATGAGATAAAGTACGGGTAAAATAAAATGTTTTCAATTTCGATTATCCACGTAGTATGTACAGTAGTATGTAATACTATGCGAGTTTATTTTTTAAAAAAACATGTCACGTAGAAGAGTGTTTCAGATAGTAATTTGAAAATGGCGCAAAAATCGTGAAGAGGACGAGAATACCAGTGTCTGTTTCCAGTATCCAATCGCGATTACCGTATGTGCTTTGCGTAGTACGAAAAGAACAATGGTGTCGATGTTGTTATTTCGATGATAAAAACTGTGACGGATCCTTGACAAATATCGTACCGAACCCCAACCGGACGGTGTGTTTTAGGTAACAAATATATGTATATTTGGCGAGTGAACGAGCCGTCTAGAATTCTCGAAAAGGCATTGCCAATTCGTTCTATCCGTTCGTATGTTTTCCTGTGTGCCTGTTACTGTCTATGTGCCTGTGCGACATTCCCCGTAATGCGTAATCTCGTCGCGGACGAAATCCATAAACGCAACACCAGTGGCGGGAATTATGACGCATATGGAGCATACCGTCAACTACGTCAGTAAAAAAAAGATTTTACGCAAAGAGAAAGAAATTCTAGTATCGTAATATTGTAACAAGAGGATCGAAGGTAAACTGTCATTACAGTTTGTTATTGGTCGTATGGTAATGTCGAAACATTCGATCAAATTACGTAAACTAACGTAATCATCGAATCTATCAGTTTTCGTTGCGGGTGATGGTGAAAACTTAATTCTTTAATCGAGATAAACGTAAAAACGATAGCCAAGAAAATGTAAATCTGGTTTCTCTTGCGTCGATAAAGCAAATTCCAGAAATTTGAGGGAACGTAACGACGATGCGATACGAATGTTTTCCAAGGACATCACCGGAAGTTCTGAGTAACGATTAATTCTCTATAGCACCTGATCGAAGGCGGGCGTATTTAAATGAGCGATACACGTACACGTTACCGGAAAATCAGATAATTTGATATACGAAACATTTGGATTATCTTTGATTTACCGTCTGCAAAATATAGTTACGTATTTTGATATTTGGACTCTGCAAAATGTTTAAACTCGTTGTTTTAGGTCCGGTTACGAACGTTTTTCCAACTTGAAGAAATGTCATTGGAAAATGGTACATTACGATCAACGATCGCGATGCGATTAGGTGCAGTGACGGCCCTTACGTACATACGCTTTTTTCGTCGATGCGACAAACGGCAGGAGAAATAATTGATTCGGTCTTTAGAGAAAGAGAAAAAGACGCGGATGTACACCGTTATCGCGTATTGTCGTGATGATGCTAATTAAAGAACGACGGGGTAGAACTTCATTAAGATAATCTCGCAGCATAATAACGAGCGGACTATACGAGTCGAAGATTGATCGACAATTACGGCTGGACGGGACGACTGCTGCCTAGTTGAAACTGAATGTTTTCAATTGTTTGCACGTGTTCAGGCGGTTATCGTTGTTTGCCAGGCTCTCTTACAGTCGCTGATCGTGGTAGGTGGCGATGAAGAACGATAGAAACAGCCGATAATTGTAACGCTGGAAACGTAACGTCGGATGTTCGTGGCACGGATTAATTTCCATGTTCGTAACATACGATACAGAGTGTAGCAAAATATGCGGTAAGAAACGAAAGATGTAGAAGATTTTCATCGTGTATCGAGTAGACGATCGGCAACGGGGCTACGTGACTAATGGCATGTCTGTTAGGGATGGCATCCCCGATGGAAGGGGTGTACATCCCGTATATGTATATCGAACGACGCCGGAGGGCGTTACGTTCCGTTCCGTTCGCCGGCATCGTCTACCCTTCATAGGATTACAGCGTAACCCTCTCTTTTTTTTTTTTCTTCTTCTGAAACCACAATAGTAGGAGCCGCCGCGACGCGTGAATCATAAGTTTTCGTTGACGAAAGAAGCCGATTGGAGGGTCTGTTTGACCTACGGGAGGCTCGTCGGTCTAGCCTCCTCCTTCTCCTTCCCGTGATCGTGGATCCCATCGCGGAGCCTCGTACCGTCGTACGCTAATACGCTATAGACTCGTACTCGATACTCTTCGGGATCAGCTCACAATCAGCCGGCAAACGGGCAAAGTAGTCACGTTGGTCGTTCTTAAACGCGTTCGATCACCGATCGTCTTCCGAGAGTCCGTGAGTCCGAGGTCCCGCTCGATACACGCGATTAACGATCGAAAAGTTTCGATTCGGCGTACGTTCGGTCCGCACGGTAGTTCCGTTCGACAAGTTCTCTCGAAAGGACTTTCTCGAAGCCTGTGGTGAAACGTAGTGGAAATGTTGTTCGAAAGATAAAGTTGACGATAGGGGAAGTTGTTTTCTAGGACGGGTCGGATTTATCGAGTGAAATACGCGTGGCGATTCGCGAATGCGATCCAGCGTTCGTCGCAGCGCGGTGCGGACCGGCGACTCGATTCCGGAGTACCGATCGCGTTCCGCTAGAAGAGTTTCTTCGGGAAGCGCATGGTAAAGATCAATGACCATCGCGGCTCCACGTCGTAGTAAAAAGTCGTAATAGAAGAAACTCGTAAATCACTGTTGTTTGACCGCGGAACGATAGCCGATCGTTAGCAGAGGTCGTGATCTTCGCCGATGACGGTTGAACGTACGTTAAACGAACGATTTTGTTGGAAGATTTTCTTTTCGCTAAGAAAGAAAGCGACGTTAGCGGATAATATCTAGGTACGGAGGACGATCGGCGGTAATTGGTTTTTTCCGGTGTATGCAGTTGTACGGGAATTGAGCGAGCCCGAAGGAACACCGGGTATCGTTTCGGGAACTTGTCGTTGGTCGTATGGTTGGTAGTCGAGGTATAAGAAAGAATCGCCACACGCTTCGAGACGGAGCGATAAGAAGGCAAAGTGTCGGCGTCGCCGTGCCGTCGTACGACGCACGAGAGTAAGTCGGCTGATAACGAGTAGCCGATGCTGGTATGTAGACCCGGCACTGTTGTCCTAACGACTACCGCCGACCAATAGTGTCGTCACTCGTCACTCGTCACTTGTCACGTTCCAGCGATGCGTTTGGTAGCCAGGACGAACGCGACCACGATGCCGCGGCCGTTCAGGAGTCTATGAATTTGGAATCACCGTTCTCTCTCCGTGGGTTGTGCTTGTAACGCTGAGAAGCTTTCAGGCTTCGCGAGGAATGCTGGAAACTGGTCTGTCGCGAACTCGTGGGGATGTTATGTAAGCCGTAGTTGGTCGACGTAAACGCGTATACACGCAAAGACGTCGCGTACGCGAGAAAGAGACGCGTCGCCGACGCCAATCGACGCGGTATAAACTCGAGGTTGTCGAAGACGCGAAATTCTCGGTGAACACGGTGACAACTGACAACTGATAACTGAAAACTAAGCGTGGCTCGGCTCGGCTCGACTCGTACGCGAACGCATTTCGTACGTGCAAATGCGCGCGAAGAACAGTAGCAAAACGTAGGAAAGTACGATACACACAAGTTCAACTCGATCGTTTCAGGTGATCGGGTTACGTGCTCTAGCAGCGATCCTCGAAGGTTACCCGAGGACACTCTGTACCCGTGGGTCAGTTTCGACGAGCTTTTCAGCTATGAAGAAGATACGCAACTGAAGACCGGGGACAGGGAAGAAGACGAAGAGAAGGTGTACGAAGAACGTCTAGGAATGTCTTCGGCTTCGGTCAACAAGCTGCAGATTTTCTGGGACCGTTTCATTCACGCAAGGTCGCAGAGTTACGAGGTATACGCGCGTACCGTTTCCATTATTTCTATTCTATTTTCTTCACCCGTACGATCCTTATCGTTCGGTTTCACTCTTCTCGTTTTGTTTTAACGGAGAAGAAAGAGTAGAGACGATCGTTACCGGATATACCGGTACCTACTATATAACGATACCGTTGTTACCTTGACGTTTCATCCTTTCTCTTTCGAATCTTCTCGGTACGATAGAAACGCGAGGAATTCGCGACGACGATCGCATTTTCGTTTAAACGCATTCTGGATAAACGCGTGCTTTCCTTCTTTCCGTTTTGTTCGATTGTAAAAGATCTCTCCGTAATCAACAGCGATCGTTCGTTCTCTTACGCTTAAATTTCGCTTAAAAATCGCCTCGGGATGACGTACAAGTCGCGCAATCCTCTCGTCTCTGGCGCGACGAGTTGGTACTCGCTACCGACTATCTACCGTATCGAATTTTATAAAACACGACTGATTTTATTCCTCGACTTACGATTCGATCGATTCCTTTTGTCTTAGAAATCATCGTGGCTGGACGTATTCCTCGCCGAGTTGCTTGCTCAAGCAAAAGAATGCCGAGATGTGAAAGATGCTCTGTCGTTTTGGTAAGGTTACGGACCACTCGATCTAATCCTAGATTTAAAAGGAGACGTATTTTGGTTTGGTCACGTCTCTCGTACAGTATTGTCTCGAAATGAGCAACATTCTATCCCCCACCTTTTTGTTTCAAACCGGCCGCTGAGTGAGAGATCCGTTAAAGCGAGAAGAAGAGATTAGTGGAAAGAGCACAGAGGACATGTGTAATGTTTTCTCTTTCTCTGGAATGTGTATTCTCCGAAACAATACTGTTGGTTGTACGTAGTTTGCCGCTACACCGTCTCGCTCGAGAACAAAGTCAAGCCGAATAGCATACCTCCCTCGAAATAAGCAACTCGCCGGTCCCGATCGAGTTGCTTAGTTCGACACAATACTGTATTTACGAACCAACCGCGATTAATCGGAAAATTTGCCCCGTTGTAATTTGTTTGCGATTCGCTACGATAAGGGTTTGAAAAAAGGTGCGCGGAAGGATATCGGGGAGGGCGACTAATGGCACGCTCGTTTTTACGACGACATCACAGCAGCGCACGGTGACCGCAGATGGATAACACGATCTCGCGTTTGCGGTTCCGATACCGATGCGGCGATATTTTTCTCGCCGTCGCTTTCTCGCGTTTGCACTCGCCGCGAGCGATTCCTTCCTTCGACTTTAACGTGGTTCGAACATTACCTATGCGCCGCTGGCAAACGTGTATTCGAAAATTCTGTTCACCTTGCGTTCACCGCGAGTACGTCAACGTTCGACGCGCGATCTCGACTTTCATCGACGTACGTTGACATTTCGCTCGGAAAACTTCCTTGGAAGATATCGCGTCACTCACTGAAAATAAGATTGCGTAAAACTGACCGTATCGAGGCGGCAATGATAAGCCGATAAGAGAGCACCTCGGTGCGTCCAACGGATAAGATAGAGACGTATAAAAGACGTAATGGAAATATTGGTTCTAGTTCGGTCGGCGGTGGCGGTGTGTCTACCCTTATAGCCTGTGAGCTACTTTCGGATGTCCACGAGCTCTGCGCGAAGAGGATCGACGGAGACGAACTGGTCGGATTGAGAAAGTATTTGACGCAAGATCGCGGTTGGCGTTGCCTGGCGGTTTTGCAGCTTCTCGGTGTACGCGGTCTTTCTTGCGGACGCGAGCTGGTAGCTCTGCTGGTGGCGCTTTATCCGGTCGCGCTTCAGGAAGAGGGCGGCAAGCCCGACTCGACGGCTTCGAACGGATCCGCGCGGAATCCGTATGTGAAGTTTCACTGCAACGACGACACCGTCGACACGATACATATCGTGCCGCGCGCGAAACCGAGAGCGATCAAATCTAGCCGAAACGGTGGTTCGTACGAGGGAAATGGTGCGTCGAGGAAAAGAGCAAATCGTAGACACAGTATCGGTATCGGTAGCAAGGTGCCGACGCACCACAAGCAAAGATCGTTTGGTATGCTCGAAACGCGCCGTAACACGTCGGAAACCGCGAGCAGCGAGTCCGAATTGTTGACGGACGGTATAGATCAGGCGCGATCGGTCACGCTCAAGATCCGGCTGAATCCGATGGATTTCGAGTACTTCACCTCCGTGGTTAGAAGCGACGAGGAACAAAAATGGCAAGCGGCGCTCTACGAGCTACCCACTCGGCCGGCCAAGAAAACACCGACCGACTACGCGGACGAGAGGATCAAGGACGTTCTAGATTCGAGGATCAGCAATTTCGAGGCAAGTCTGTTGATCGTGCAGCTGCTTCAAGGGCTCAGAGATTACGACACCCCGGCTGAGCAGACTCCGGCCGTGCAGGTCCTCAAGTTCGCTTTGGACACGTTATGGTCCCTTCAATTCGGCATAGACGATACCGGTTTCTCCGGCACGGAATGCGCCACGTTAAAAGCAGCGGCTGCGAGGCTAATGCTGACGGCGCTCGAACGCGTACTCAGAGCGAACGAGCCAACCACGGCCGTCATTCACAACGGACTGCTACCCATGACTTTGAGATTACTCGAAGACGCTTGCAGCAAACCGGTGAACGTGCTTTCACCGGAAGAGGGCTCGCTGCTGCAGGAGTTTATCTTCGGCACCATTTACGGAATCGTCGCTTTCCTTTACTGTCTGTTGCATCAACAGGGAGCTTCCATCGAGAAATTGTCCGACTTTCTCGAACTGTTTCAACTGTTTGCCGAAAGCCAGGACGGCAAGCTCGTCGAAAGAACGATACTCGCGATAGTCGAGTTGCCGAGCACCGACCAGGCGAGATCGATTACCCGCGCCAGAAAGGTGATCGATATGATAGGCGCGCTAACGAGCGGTTTGAAGTCGGCGCGACGCGATATCGATCACGCGGCTCGGTGCAATCGGACCAAACACAAATCGTGCGTCGATCACGTTCAAACTCATCATCATTCGGATATATTCGGAGTCGCCCATGCTCGGTTGGACGTCGATATCACCGCGAAACAGCAATGCTGCGTTTCCTCTCTGTTCATGACTCTCGTTCGTTTGCTCGGAGGGACGCATCCTTTTCCCACCGAACTCCTAGTCAGATTAATCAAGGTCTCGACGGCAGCGGGCACCTGTTGCTGCTTTCCACCGCGAGTACTCATGCGCGGCATCGTCTCGCTTCTCGACAGGCGCGACCCGGCGACTTACGCTCCCGCGGTGATGCTTCTCGAGCGTACTTTTTTCAAGGAGCTCGGTGCCTATTCGGAATCGAACTTGTGCACCACTTGCGACAGATCTGCGACCTACGCTTGGGACTTTCTGCGGTCGTACGCGGATCTCTTGACTCCGGACGAGCCGAAACTATGTTACGTTCTAATGGCTCACCTTCTCAAGGTAGGGCCTTGCTCAAGCTTCCACGTCAGACGAGAATTGCTTCTGCAAGTCTTCTACCCCACATTTTTGAAATGTAAAACCTACTACAAAGCCGATACCGGAAACGTCGCAACGAAATTTCTTCTCCAGTCTTGTCTATCCGCGATATCATGCTTGATCGTGAACGCACAATTATACGAAGGGTTCGCGGAACTCGATGGACTGAACGAAACGTTAGCCTTGCTCTCAGATATGACTTTCGCGAGAAACGCGTACGCCGTTCTCGAAGTGAGCGTCGTTATCGAAATCCTGAGAACGAGAACGAATTCCATGGGATCCGAATCCCAGGATGCCGAGGCCGAAAGAGATCGACCAGCGCTCAAATCTTTATTCGATTCCCTCGAAAAGGAAACGAACGAGTTGCTCTCTGCTATAGAGGATACGCCCGATGACTCCGACCGAGTGGAGAGAGATCTCGCGACTAACAACGCGGAAATCGACGATCGAAATGCTCAACGATCGACGATGTTCGACGCCGATACACGGGACGGTACGCGACAAGCATTCAGCGAAACGAACGACTTGGCTGCCGATGCGATTTCCCATCCTCCGGAAATACTCGGTAGTTGCCTCGAAACCACTCGCCCGACGTCTCTGAGAACCGATAGCGACGCAAATGCGAAGAAGAAAATTAATCTATACCAGGCAAGCGCCGCGTGGAGAGCCACAGCCGTGATAGCTCTGAGCAGCCCAACGTTCCGCACGGAATTGTTGAGGCATTCCCTGTCGAACAAATGTTCCCGACTATTGAAAACGTTGGCGCTACGTATCTCTACGGATAGTATCACAGGTGAGTTAGTCGAAATGCGGAAATCGGATTTTTCTTTTAGACGTAACCATCTTTTATATTTTTTTACATGCATCTTAGATACCACCAACAAATCGGCGCACAAACTCTTCGAGGCATTGCTCACGTGCTGCTTCACGTTACCGTGGCGTAAGTATTTTTACGTATAACGAACGCGAACCGCGTGTATTCGAAGTGCGTTTCTGTCCTACGTACTGTTCGATCCCGCGCAGCTGCGGATTAGAATTCCGATAAGCTCGGAGAATTCGTTGACGGAGTTGAAAACAATTGACGGAACGCTCGTTATTACCGGTAAACATCTTTCCGAGTATTCGATCCTCGGTGAAGCTTCCGTTTCGTAGAATCGTCGTACCGCCGCTGCTTTCTTCTCGCGCACATTTTTATCGGCTACGTTGCAAACAAATTATATTGCAAATGACGCGCTGCACAGGTGACTGCGCAGGTGACATAATCGGAAGAACACTGATGGACACAGGCGTGAAGCTAGCTCGTGGACTGGCCGTGATCGTGGAAGTTTTATTAAAAGTCTCTATGCTGAAACCAGCGCAAGAAGAAACTATACCTCAGCATACTCGGCCCAGGGTAAGTTTCGTCCCGCGATTTTTTCTCCGTTGAACGCGTCGAATTTGGCCGCCAAGCTATCCTCTCTCGGTCTGTTTCGTTTCAGTTACCGACTATGACGTTGGATGCGATACCAGACTGTGCGATGGACGACAGCAGTACCGGCGAATACGTGACCGCCGACGATGGCTACGAGGCGGACGTCGAGGTGGCGGGAAGAACTCCTCGCTCCGACGGCGTAAAGAGACGCAGCAATTCCCTGGGTCCGGTAGTCGAACCTAGAGGCCACGCGAATGCGCACCCAGCCTTGTGCTCGTTAGCGGTCGACCTGTTGATTCATTTTACCGAACAGTGAGTTTTCTTGGACGAGTCGCGCAATCTATATTCGCGCGATGAATGTTCTAAACGACGTTCTTTTATAGAGGTCTGGACGCCGATAGAGAATCCATCGTAACTGCTGGTTTAAGAAAAGTTGCGGTTACCTGTCGGGAGAGCGCTTCGAGTTGTGCCGCGTTAGCTGGTTCCGGCGTGATTATGAAACTACTAAACGGCTTTAAGGATATATTCGCCAACAGAGATGTTCGTTATCAAGGTAACCTAATCGTAACGTTGATTCTTTACGCCGCGCCGGCGTGAACGTGTTATGGCAGATATTTTTCTCGTACTCTCTATGTCTATAGCGTGTCTAGCACATTACAAGTGTAACCGATAACAACTTTTTTTCAGATTTGCAACACGCTGTTCTAGAAGTGTTTACCTTGTTAGCGACGCAATCTATTTTGCCGTCAGAATTGGTCGCATACCTGTCTCTGTTTAAAGTCGAGGCACCTCCGCTTTTATCGCTGTTGGAACCGCTTTATCATCTCGTCCTTGGCGCGCGTCCTCAACCCAATTTTATCCTATCGTTCCCTGTACATTCGGAACTGTCGAAAGTGTTGCCAAAAATTCAATCGGAAGAGTACAAGAACTTGGAAAAAGCTGAGAATCTCGTAAACAATTTCCGAAAGAGACACTTGGCGACTGGAATATGCAGCCCATGGTCTGTCCACGCAACGTGTCTGCCAGTCGGATCGGAACTGGCTTGGCCGGTCTGGTTACACGGTTGCTCTGTTTCCATGTGGCTAAGGGTCGAAAGAGGATCGCCCGTTACTGGTAAAGGGACAGTGATCGGTACGTCACCGTTGCTCGATTCGGACAACGACAGCTTATCAGACTGGGGTGTTCTGTCCGATAATTGGAGTCGCGAAGGTTGGTGGTAAAACTTAATATCATACGTAAACCAACTTTATTATTTTATATTATATTATAAGATTGCGTTATGTATACGTGATTACTGCAAAAGGACGAATTCGTACCTAATAGTTTCTCTGTTGTTTTCGCCAGTCGTGGCAGGTTCGACATCTCCACCTACGCCGTCGTCGATCATTCATTTAATGTCTATCGGACTCGAGTCTTTGGTTCTCGAAACCTGGTTGGATCTGAGATCAGGTAACGAACGATACTCGAAGTTACTCAAATTATTCGCAAAACACGATATCGTTGTCGTAACAATTATCCGTTGTTGCACGCTTTGTATCGGAATTTCTTAATTTTCCGTTTCAGACAAATTAATCTTACGGTTAACGCGACCAGACGACAAAACGAATCGTACGGTTTCCGAAACATCGGTAACTGGGATGCTTCCTTCTGGGCGGTGGCATCACTTGGCACTGAATTTCAAGGATACCGTTTTAAACAAACGCAGCGCCGTGGTCGAGGTTGTCCTCTGGGTGGACGGCTGGAAAGAAATAAACGCGCGATTACCATTCGACGGTCTGTTGGTGAGAAAGCCTGGAACTACATGCGTTCTACTAGGACAAGTCGGGTCGAGCAGTATCGGGGCCTGGTATTTGGGAAACTTGATGGCATTCAGGTAGACGCCTTTGTCGTCTAACGTTCAATTATTGATTATCATGTCTCTATTGTACATACGTGAACGTTTATTATAGATGTCCAGTGTTTACGAAGGAGAGAGCATTATACCTGGCGAGTCTTGGGCCTAATTATACCAATCTTGCGGAATGCGCTCTAAACATGGATAAACCAGATTTCGCGCCGGTAATTGCATCTGGAGCATTGGACGGTGTACGAGAAGTAAAATTCGGTGAGTACCGTGAAAGATGCGATCGCTGTCGGGTACCTACTATCCAACTATTCGATTACACCTATATTTGACTACAGAGGGAGCAGGGAAATTTGATACGAACCGAAGAAAGTCCTACGGTGGAACGTACTTGAGGCATGCCGTAGAGACCAAAGTATCCGAGACTAAAATCGACTGGGATGCGGTCATGGATGCTACGAATTCGCATCTGGCCGAACTGCAAAATAATCTCCTTCTCAGTTACGAGGCACAGAATCCGAATATCGTTCATCTTTACCCTCAAGCTATCGCGAATCCTGCCGGTAGGTTTGCCAATTTACCTATATACTCGATTCGATTCGATTAGTTTTGTTTCGATGTTGGTCTTTTCGTATAAATGTTACATGCGTACTCGTTTCTAGCCGTGGTAAGAAATCTGTTTCCGGGTCAACCAGGTTTTAGGGTTGTCTCCGCGCCGGAGCACAGAGTTTCGCAGCAACCACCTTTGTCTTTGGCTCCGATACTGTCCGTTCGATTGGAATGCCAACAGTACAGAGGACTAGTACCCGCTGCAACCTTAATAGGCGGAGTACCTATATTTCTCTTTCTGTTCGCAAGAGTAAGTATACCCGTACAGAGACGATACACAGCTGTTCGATCGGTTCGTATTAAAGAGTAACTTGTGTTGCAGGTAGTCGAATTGGACTCTACCGAGGAAGAACAAGCGTTGGCTCTTTCGATAGTTCTGCACTTGATACGAAGCGATTCCGAACTGTTGAATCAATATCGATCGGAAGGTGGGACAGCGTTGGTCCTACGCGTTTTAGAATCGCCACGATGCCACGCAGGTAGGCACGTTCTGAAAGCAATGTTAGACGCTGCTTGCGATAGTTCGATCCTGATAAAAGATGTAGGCAGCGGCAATCATTTGATCTCGCAAAACTGCGAAGCCGTCATTACGGATCCTGAACTGATAAAAGGCGCGCTGACCGCGTGGAGAACATGGGCTCAATACGATACGTTGAATCTGCTATTGCAAGCGTTGTTAATGCTGTTGAGAGACCAGCACTCGCAGCGCGAATTTAACGCGTCTCAACTGAACAGGGTAGAAATCGTTGACACGATTTTGACGTTGTGCAAGGTATGCGATACGGGTTCAAACAATTGTACGGGTTCGATGCAAACGAAATCGACTGTTTTTTCCTTTGTTTATCGTAGGAGCACTTCATGTACGAGGAACTAGGCGCGGTAGTCGATTCTTCGACGGGAACAGCCGTAGTCGAATTGATCAGAGCATTGATGGGTGCCCCGCCCGAATTTGCTCATCTCGTGGCAATCACCGATTATTTGGTTCTCGTTCATCAGGCATCGGAAACTCATATCACGCATTCGAGGCACAATATTTATTTTTTATTACCGTCCCTTGGGGAGAAGAAAGCTACAAAGAACGCATCCGCGGTAACTACCAGTACTTCGGAGGAATCTATCGGAACTTTAGAAAACAGTAAACTGAGCAAAGGTTTAATAAACGCCCAGGTTGGTACCTATACGCTATACACTCGGATAACGACTAGAATAACATTTAACGAGGCTTGTATATTTCGCAGATTCAGAAAAGTAAAATCTCAAAGAGAAAAGAACGCCGAAACGGTCACCTCCAAGATACCAGCGCCGGAGAAGATTCCGGAATCGCGGCTAGCGATGGATCCAATCCCCTCAGTACTGCAAGTATTAAACAAGTTTTATTTCACTCGTTAACAATTAATAATTATCTCAAGCGACAATTTTCCATTCAGGAAAAGCAGCCCACGTGGACAGACGAAAGAAGAGCATGCCAAGGACTAGTTTGCGAAGGTCTTTTGTTATTGCTGCGGGATGCGGTCAGAGTTTTACCGGATAGTCAAGTTGGCTTGGTACTGAAGCACGTTTTAAGAGCTGAACTTTTACTTGTACTGGCAAACAATCCCGATCCTAGAGTTCGTACAGCGTTGATCAAGGTACCGCGTGAAATTCGTGAAAATTAAGCAGATCTCATTGCAGTTCATCCTTTATACCGACGATTCTTTCGCAGGTCGTACAAACGTATCTACAACGCGCTAGCGACGAAGAAATCAACAAATTCACCAAGCAAAAGTACTTTATGCATCTAGCTAATCAAATAGCTTTATATCCTGGAAGCGAACCGCTCGTAGTCGCTCTCGAAAATCTTGCTTTGAGAGGGCCGACTCTAGCCGCGATGCCGCCGTTAATGGCTATGATTGTAAAAGCAGCAGCTACCGAGCCAAATATAGCAAGACCGATAGTGTCCTTTATCACCGACGTAATCGCAAAGGTAAGCCAATGCTAGAAGAATGGAACGAGAATGAGAAGGAGAAAATTAATGAGTTTTCATTTCAGAATCCCAATGCTTTGAGGATGCTTTTAGAGCAAGGATTGATCGAATCGCTGGTTCAGGCATTAGTCGCAGGCGCCCACAAAGGCGGTTCTACGTCCCTTTACCGAGACATCCATGTGCTGCTCGTTGCTATTGCTACGAAGCTCTTGGAATCTCTGGGAAGTCATCAAATGCAAGCTATTTTAGACATGCATTTGATATTGAATTATATGGAATTGAAAGAAAAATCTGACTGTACGAAAAATAGAAGCTGTGTGTCGGTCGTAAGGGACGCACAGGTTGCCCTCTTTGACGGCGAACTGGACGTGCTCGCTTCAAAAGTCTCGAATCAGTCGGGTTTCCGGTTACGCAGCACAGCATCGTATCTCGCTTCAGCGTATCACATAACTTCGGGTAATTGTATTGTATAATATTCTAGAATTCTGATGTAATTCCGACGGTCTCGATTTTCGTTTTCAAACGTGTTTATCGTTTGTTACGAGAGGTGACAAAACAAGCGCTTAAGCTTATCGACTATCGTCGGTATATAATTTTTTCAATGTTTTAGTTTTCACAACGTCCAGCGATCAAAGCGATCATGGCTCCCGATCGTCTAGTTTCGGAAGCCTGCACGCCCCGACCGTCGCAACGTTGCGCGAGCCAGGAAAAGGAGAGCTACTCGAGCGATTTCGCATTATTTTAACACGAGCAGTTGAATTTATAACGGCAGCCGACGAATCGCCGTCCGGAAACGAACTGCAATTAACTAAAAGATTATTCTCGATTCTATTGCACGGCCTTTGTAATCCGTTGGAGAAGAAAAATCACTGGACCAGTGGATGGTCGACCAGGCATGCCCTCCGAAAATATACGGCCAAGATAATGATGTGGTTACTCGGACCTCATCAGAGTAACAATACGAGAATTTTTGCCGTTAGATCGTTGATGGAGGAGCCGAAAGCTGATAAAATATTATCCTCTATTCTGGAAGTTCATCCGCAAGTAGAACAGAAATTTACAGTCTTCTTTTGGGATCTTTTGCAAAAACGGGGAGAAATGTCGAGCGCGGACGCGCGATTATGCGCCGAGCTAAGGGAAGCGTTGAACGTATGGGACTTGGCGAAAGGTATAGATCAAGCTAGCTCCCCTGTATGGAACGAAGAGCTAGCATTGTTGAGACGCGAACTGATGAGAGATCGCGACATATGGATCGACAATAATCTTCCAGCTATCCAAAGAATTGGCAACAGATTCGACGTTCTCGGTAAACAACTAACGGAGAGTGCTATGACTATTACGCGTACAGTTGTGGAGGAACAAAACCAAGAACGCAAAGTATTAATGGAAAGACTGAAACATTCGAGAGCAATGGACGCCCAAGCGCTCGCGAAATGGAGGGACTTGGCCCGACGTTTAACGCACGAAAGAGCACCTTGGTATTTCGCGAAAAGTTACCCGAGAAGTTGGGAATTGGATCCAACGGAAGGACCTGCGAGAGTTAGAATACGATTGCAACGATGTCACTTGAACATCGATAAGAGATTCTTCATGGCCGATTATCGAAATAAACTGGAACCAGCGGAAATCGAGGCGCCGTTATCTTATCTATTCGTGACCGATCGACAAGATGCGAACGCTACGGCATTGATCGAGAGACTCCATACCAGCGAAAGAATACGTAAAATGTCTCAAGCCAAAGTTGTTACTCCTAGAGCCGAAATAGCTGGCGAAGTTCTTATCGGTGAAACATGCCTTTACTTCGTACCTGACAAACCCGACCTACCATTACACACCGACCTAGCTTTGGGTGGCCTGGATTTAGCTATGGTAGGTGGAACAGCGTGGCGTCTCGAAGATATTCGAGAATTGCATAGAAGGAGATACCAACTACAAGAGAGGGCCATCGAAATATTTTTAATTACGGGCAGAACTTATTTATTGGCATTCAACTCTTCCAAGGAAAGGGATGAATTCGTAACAGAATTATCTGCTTGCAACTTACCAAGGCGAGTACCTGGCGACGATTTGAACGAAGCCATCACCCTCTGGCGAAGCGGAGCTTTAACCAATTGGGAATATATCACTTGTCTGAACAAGTTAGCTGGCCGTTCGTACAACGACTTGATGCAGTATCCCGTATTTCCATTCGTCTTGGCAGATTACACCAGCGAAAAGATCGATTTCAACAATCCACAAATTTACCGAAATTTTAAACGGCCTATGGCTGTGCAGGATAAAAAAAACGAACAACATTACATAAACAATTACAACTACCTTAAACAAACTTTATCGGAAGGATTGAATCTAATCGCGTTAAATCAAGAACCATTTCACTATGGCTCGCATTACAGTAATTCTGGCACGGTACTACATTTTTTGGTACGATTACCACCGTTCACTAGCATGTTTCTGTGCTATCAAGACAATAATTTTGACATTCCCGATCGAACGTTTCACGCACTGGCTACAACGTGGAGATTAACCAGTTGCGACTCAACGACAGACGTGAAAGAATTAATTCCAGAGTTTTTCTACCTGCCGGAATTTTTATTGAATTCAGAAGGATTTAATTTCGGTGTACGACAAAACGGTAACCGAGTGGGAGACGTTGAATTGCCGAAATGGTGCGGAAACGATGCGCGACTTTTCATTCTTGCTCACAGAGCAGCGTTAGAAGCGGATCACGTTAGGGAAGTTCTACCCTATTGGATCGACCTAGTGTTTGGATTTCGACAAACTGGAAGGCCAGCGGTAGAAGCTATAAACGTTTTCCATCCAGCGGTAACTTTCAGACACCCGTTATTCGATATTTCTATCCTATTTATTATTTAAATGAACCATTACCAACATTCGGAAAATTTACATTTCTAGACCTATTATGGCTTCAATGTAGAACAAATAGCGGATCCTTTGGAACGTCAAGCTTGGGAAACAATGGTGCGAACATACGGCCAGACGCCAGCGCAATTATTTAGAGCTGCCCATCCATTGGCAATCCAAAACCTTGGAAACACAATGTTGCATTCGCCGTTACCGCAAGTTATTGAAGGTGTAGATGGTACGTAGCAATTTCTCAATTTCATATATGTATACGATTCTCTCGTAAAACGCTGGCATTACGACGAAACTTTCTTTTACGACTTTCATAGGCATCAAATGGGGAAACTATGTCGGCGCACCCGGAAACGAGCCTGCTTTATGTTGGAAACATAAACACAGGGCACCGTTAGCGTCTCTGGTTCCCTTAATGACTGGTGACGTTTTTGGATTACCTAGCTACACTACTCTACTACTCGGTTACACAAAAGAGAAAGGTACACTTCATTTCACTATACATATACAATAATATAATATATACATATAGACGTCTTGTAGAATATAATATTATACTTTTAGGTGCAAGTATGTTAAGTGGAACGTCTGTATTGGGAGCTGCCTTAGTATCATGGAGCGGTACGGACGGAATTGCAAGACTGAAATGTAAGAAAGAACAACCGCCGAGGCCATTGATTAAGTCATCGGGTTTGGACCCGGTAAGTAAATTATCCTAACATGTGGAACAGTTACTTTACTTCGATAGTATAATATGTCTAATACAATTTCTCTTGTTTTGTAGATTACTATTTTAGGATCTGCTCCGGATTGCGGACAACTCTGGACAGGTCATTTATCTGGCAGAATAACAGTCTACACGTACACCGTAGTTACAAGCAAAATTGATTTCAGTTCGACACCAGCGTGCGTGCTTTTAGGGCACAGCAGTAGAGTAACGGTTATATCTCTTTCCCGGGCATTTAGTATAGCCGTTACGGGTGATGCAAGTGGCGTTATCATTATATGGGATTTAAACAGGTCAATATACTTATAAGCATATACGTGAAAATTTATATCGGATTCTACGTTAAAATAATTCAACGTCTTTTCCTTGCAGCTTAACGTACGTGAGATCGATATCTTGCGATCAGAATTATCCTATTCGTTTACTAGCGATTAGCGAAACTCTCGGAGACATAGCGGTTACTTACGATGCTTGTAAGACGATCGAGTACTCGACTAAGAGTCAGTCTGAACTGAAAGTATTTACGATAAATGCAAGACCGGTTGGATCTGTTCTCTCTAGGAGAAAAATTACAGCTCTTTGTTATAGCAATGCACCCGAGGGAGTTTCCGTAAACGTTATTGCGACAGGATTAGATAACGGAGTCATAAGATTGTGGAGCAGTTGGAATTTGAGATTAGTTCGAGACATTCTTAATTTTACCGAAGGCTGTGGAGCGGTAATAGCGATCGCATGGTCATTAGATCAGCATCATCTCTATAGAGTAACCGAAGATTGTACTGTGCTCATATGGGAAGGAACGAAACGTTTGAGCAATGGTACACCAAAATTCGTTAACCTAACGTCGCTATAATGTAAATAAACGATTTAAAATGCCTTTTGGACACACCAACGTGCAACTTTATATTTTATTTTAGATAGTAGTAAACGTTCTTTCTTATTTTATCGATAAGTGTATTGTAACAAACACGTTTTATGCTACGATTACGACGTTAACGTGTTATCTTTACAGTTCGCATTTTTATCAAATTCAAATCACTCGAATACGTCTTTGTTTTCTATAATGATAATTTTATATCGCATTTGCATCTATTAAACAAAAAAAATATGTTAAAGTATTATTTCATTGAAGTTTTTAATACAACAATTTTTTTTATATTTTTTTTATACATATTGTATTTATATGTACAATCCACTTAAACAACAAGAACAAGGTTTGTCTTGTTGTCTGTATTAGAAATATAATGATACCATGATAGAAGATATGTTTATATCGAACCATTACATTTAAATATTTTTCACGTTTGTAATGTTATAGCGCATACGTTCGTATAAGTATATTTAATGAATTCATAAATTATAAATAATAGGGAAGTTTCTCAACTTACCTCAAATGATATTCAGACAGTCTTCAATTATCTCAAACATCGGATAATACTTTCCTGTTCGCCTTGCAATTTGTTCTGCCGTATCCCCACTTGAATTTATTAAGCGAGGATTTGTATCCGGGTGCAGAAGAAGAAGTTGCAGAGCAGGAGAATTGTGGGAGCTCGCGGATACTAAATGCAGAGGCGTCTGATCTCCTTTGCTCTTAGCATTTATATTTGCTCCATTTGCAATTAAAAGTGCAGCACTTTCAACGTTATTCCAACAGCATGCAGAATGTAGCGGTTGCCATTCGTCCATAGTTTTTGCATCTATCTTTGCACCAGCTCTAAGCAAATACTATAAACGACGAGTATGTCAAAATAATTGGAACATGATAATACAATTGGAATATAACTTGAACATACTTCCACAACTTCTATGTGATTGCCATAGCAGGCTCTGTGAAGCGGAGTGTAGCCATCCTTATCCATGCATTGCAACAAACAAGGATTTTTTATTAATAATATTTTGATTTTTTCTAGATCACCTTTTTCAGCTGCACAAAGAATTTCATTTTCATCGGGCTCTACACAGAAAATACATATATAATCATTGTAAACACTGTTAAAAATTGCAAATACTAACCTTTTGCGTTGCGTTCAACCTCTACTCCGTCATCGTCGTCCTCCCAAGCACTCACTTGCATACGTTCGGTTCGCGGTTCGCTTAACATTTTGTCACGGATCGCTTCCAAATCTGTTAATTTATCGCTCTCCTCCTCGGACGACGACATGTTTATTTTTTATGAAATTAAACGACGAATCCAAAAATTCATACTCGGATTAGTCCTGGATTAGTCCGTACGACTACCGGATGACAAATCCGCGTGAATTTGAAGGTTATACGCAGGCGCGATAAACGAATGATGCGCATGCACCAATATCCAACATATTTATAATGACTTGTAAATATGTGTATCATGAAATATAAAAGGTAAAATCTTAAACATTCTTTCAATAATTACATTCTTTTGTTGGACACAAATTGTATAATTTCGCAAAGTTACAATTTTTTTCTTACATTCATTATACATTGATAAATTTTATGAGTCGAAGCACTTTAAAGTATCGACTCGGTTAGTGGCGTCATCGGTGGGAAAACGGCCAAGTTTGTAGTGAAAATAGTTTTAACCTTTACAGTAATAGAGCGCCACTGATATCTTTGAATTAATTATTCTTTATTTTTCATAAATGTATAATTAATACGATTCTTTGTTTAAGAAGAATAAGAGTAATAGCATCAAAGACCATTGTTATCTAACATTTCTAAAATTATATTTATTTCAGGAACGCGTTATCTCGTTCACGTGTGAGAGGTAAATATTTTTGACGCAGGCCTTCATCAAATACTCGATTAAATCAACAACATTTTAGGTATTAACGTACATTTTATACGGAATACAGAATTAAATAGTAAGAAAGATCATATATAAATATAAACATAAACTTATAATTCAAAAAATTGGCAGTATTCCAAAACATGGCGCCATCAGTGGATCAAGGCAAGATGGCGGAAGGTGAAAGTAGACGACATCCCCTCCACAATTTGGACGGCAGAGTTTTCTTCGCGTGAGACGACTCTCTGCGCTACATCCTTTAAGTTCGTGACCGTGAAAATGGAGGAAAAATCACGAAGTTGAACGAGAATAGCCGAAGCGAGTACGAACGCGAGGATTATGGAGGGGGCCGTCGGGACGGCGTCCCGATCGCCACCTGGCGGTCAGTCGACAGTCGTAGCAGCGAGGCGCAGGAGGTTCGCTCGCCATATTTATTGTTGTCGTCGTCGATGGGGTAGGCTAGCTGAAGTTTTGGAGCTAGTGCAGTGGTAGTGCGTAATTTCGACCTAAATTAGCACAATTCCTCGCGTGCCTGTGATAAGATAGACCTTCGCCTAAGGTACCGGGGACATAGTGCAAAATGTCTCTTACATAAAACTGGTGGGGCACTGGTGGCTCAGCTGTCCTACTCTGTTGTCGAGTGCGCCGTTCTATGTGTGCATGTGTGTATACATATATAATCTATGTTTGTGTACTCCCCATTCTGTTCTGGTTCCGTACTGTACGTTCGGTGGTGCTAGAGCATTAGTAGTAGTAGTGTAGTAGTAGGTGAAGGAACGGAGGGGTGTGAAGTGCACCAGTGACGGAACGGTAAACTCGTTAGAGAGGGTGAGGTAAGCAGGAAAACGGTTAGAATATACGTGAACAAAAGGTGTGAAAGGTGGAACAGTGAGACATACGGGTGCGATAGACGTAAGGAAAGTAGAGGGGTTGCTCCCCTTTGCGGGGTTTAGTGGTCGTCGCACGTTCTTGACGTGGGTCTGTCGACCCGCCAAGGTCCTTGTCTTCCTCTCTCGGACTCTGCTATGCTCTCGTGGTCACTGTTCTCCAATTTTCCTTCCCCTTTTCGTGGCTTTCACCTAACCTAACTTAATCGCACGCTGTTCGTTTGACGTTCGCCATAATCTCTGGTAGCACCGTCGTTTAGTTTGGTACTATCGAGTCGCGTGCTCGATGCTTTTTTTTTTTTTTTTTATTTCGTTTACTGCTTCGCGAACTTGGACGAAATATAAAAGAGGTTCTACTTTCAGTGGTGGAAAATCAATACGCTTTTTCAAACATTAGCGACCTGACATCAGCTGTTTTTATTTTACCAAACTTCGCGACAACTTCGACTTTTTCCTCAGCTACGTGCGAAGAATTTCACTGTTCCCGTGTTATCCGTCGCTCGGCACTTTTTCGTTTCTTTGTGCTAGATATATCGATTCAAACTTTTTAGTCGATCGCGACTTATTGCTGCTTTATCGCGTCACACTTTCGCTCTTATACGCGAAAATAGGTTGTCGCTGGAAAAGCGTTATCTGGTAGATTATTCGATCGGGAAGTAGAAATCGTTTTGAGATATGTTTTTATTTACATCCACCTTGGTCGTTTACGCGTTAAGTAGTCGTTGCGGACGGTACCGGTTCGAAGTTACGCTGCAGAGGTGAGCGAAATCGAATAACAGAATTGGAAAGTGAAGGGTGACCTTGCAAGCATCGCGATCCAAGTACGCGAGTTACAATGATAGTAAACAACAGTCGATAGTGTAACGATTATCCAAGTTCGATCGTCGACGTTACGTTTCCTTGCATTTTTCCGATCTTCACTTTTCGTCTATTTATTTATTGCGAAGAAATAATTTACCTATCTTTCTCTCTTTCTGGACAAAAGTTTGAGTAAGCGAGACGGTAGAACGATTCGAAGGAAAGGGATTTCACTCTGACAGAAGAGGGACATACATTCACAATTGCGGTTTAGGGTGTTATAGTAATATTGCGTGTTCCGATTCAGGGAGCAATTAAAAGTGGCGGGTGACATAGCTGTCTCTGGTGGCAGCGATATAATAGAGGGGAAATATCGGGCGCCGTGTCGACGGCGGTAAAACGGTGGTTGGAGGCGTACACTCGGATTTATCAATTACCCTACCCCGTGGACTCGAATCGGTGTTCTATCGAGAAATTTCATATCCATTAAAAGCGTCCCAAATATAACCGGATAGCTCTCGAGAATTCTCAAATAATCGGTCCTTTCCACCGATTCAATTTTCGTCTTTCCTTTCGAGGTTGTTGTTCTTCCTACGTAGGAGGGGTAGTCTTGCTGTTCACCAAATTAGATTAGATTAGATTAATCACCTGTCACGTGCATTGATTGTTTGCTCGCACTGCTCAAAATACAGGGTCTCTGTTACTTGGTAATTTACTTGGTAAAGCGTAAATGAAATATTTGTTAAATATCCGTACAGGGGTTTCCCTTTGCTTTCGATACTTCTTTTATGGGTTTAGTAAATGATGATCCTAGTAATTGAGCAGTGCACGTGCTCTGGGCCCTTTTTTTTTTTTTTACCGGGTTCACGTTTTCTGTCTTTCAAATGCGACGTTGAGAGGGTAGGGATAGAAATTTTGGAAATTTTGTTAAGGAATGTAGCGGGGGTGTGTCTACTCGGTGACCTTCGGCGATCACTATTCTTTGCTCTAAGCGTGGCGTTCGCGTAATGCAGTAATGAAGGCAAAAAGGGGGGCGACTATCTCTACAAGGAACGATTCAGAACACTCGATCTAACCACGACCACTCGACCTACACGCCAAGTTGTATCGCTTGATCCTTTCACCCGTTATTTTTTAGAGAAAAATCTAATTTGTTGTATTTGTTACGGATGAAAGCGTAAAGAATCTGTATCAGGAAGGTTGAGAAGGGTTCAGAGCAGATTCCTAAGTAGTTCTGGGACTGAAACTATTCGAATAATTTGATGTTCAAGTGTTCTATACGTATTGGAGTAAAATTTGAGTATTTTTCACACTGTAATGCCACGATGGTATCGTAGCAGTAACATCCATAAGGTGATACTCCAATAACAATATTCGAATACTAGTGCTTGAATAGCAATAGTCAATTGGTATCATCCAGACAACGATACTCCAATAGCGACACTTAAATACCGGTATTGAGATAGTAATTTTCGGATACCAAATCCAATTGGTACCATCCCAAAGACGATACTCCAATACTAATACTGAAATAGCAATACACGAGTACCAATATTCAATTGCTATCATCGAAAGGGTACCACTCCGAGTACTACTAGAAGCTATGCCTGCAGAAAACACGGATGTCTCGAGTTGCTCGCGAGCCGAGTCGAGCTGAGACCCAGTTTTCGATCCGAGTCTAGTACTCGGAAGAAACGAGCAGCTCGACAGGACCGAGTAGCTCGGACAGAAGCGAGTTGCTCGAAAGAACCGAGTAAAGGTCGATTCAGACTATACGGCACGGACCGTCACGTTTCGGCAACGTGAATCCGTCTTCTCCGAGGCGCTCGCTTCGGTCCGAGTTGCTCGGTTCCTTCGAGCTGCTCGTTTCTTCCGAGTACTCGACTCGAACCGGTCGTTCGAGCCGAGTAAGACTTTCGAGTACTCGAACAGCTCTACTAGAAGCGTGCTCCTGTGTTTTGGTACTTGCTCGTCTAGTAGCCTGATAGCAACAAAGTATTCGAGTGGCGGCAGTCCCCAGGCGAAGCGTGCGAGTCCCCAGAATAATCTGCAGAATCTTGTCCAACAGACGGCGAACAGTTTGGTCGGGAAGAGGGTGACGGATACCCACGTCGAACGCAGGCTCGACCCGTAGGAGACGGCGGCGGGTGTCGTCGCTTTGCGATCGCGGTGAGGCCGTCGACGGAGCACGACGGTGGTCGTCGGGGGCGCAGTGGCCCTTAGTGTCGCGCGTGCCGATTCGTACGACAATTAAAACTGGCGGGCAACCTGGCTCGGTCTCCTGTGGCGGTGGGTGGTAGCGGCGGTGGCAGGCGCGGTGGCATTTGCGGCAACGATGGTGGCAGCGGTGGTGGTGGTGGTGGTTCCGGCGGCGGGACTAGAGGAACAGGGTCGGCTGCTGCGTCCTCCGGACCCGGGGCCGCCTTGGACACCAACGGTCAACCTAGTGCACAGATAGTGGAGTGGGAGGAGGCGGATCGTTACTCCTTCGACGACTCGGATCGCTTCGAGGAGGATTCTTTGTGCAGCTGGAGCAGCGAGCCCGAGTCCTTGTGCAACAACTGGAGGGGATGGCGACGACCCCCGGCCGGTTTCAACACCGGAAAGAAGACCTCCGAAGGTGAGTTACGCTCACCGGTACTTGACTCCCCGTAATTTAGTCCTTCGTTGCGTCTGTATGAAGCGCGACCTAGTTTCATCCGTGGACGAATGTATGTCCTCGAATGCACAGTTTGTGCGTATCGATCAGCGCCGGGCTGAAAGGCAAAATGGGAAGTTAGGTGGCCTTGAACCGTCCTTCTAGCGTCTAGGATGACTCTTGCGAAGCCCGAATTGTATTTCGACCGTTCGGACCGAATTTGTAGGTCGTGCCGGGGTAAAATCGGTTACCTCGCGATCGGTACACCAAAGGAAAACGCGTCCTCTCTTGTAGGAGATCTCGAATGGTGTAGCAAAAGGT